CCACCAAGCAGCTCCCTCAGTCCCTGGTCACTGCTCTCAGCTCCTCCTTTACCGTCCGAAAAGCACAGGAGCCGGCCTGCTGCCATGGGAGCTCATTTTTCTCCAGCGCATGCTCTCATCCTGACTATCTCCCAGGGCCAAATCCACAGCGTTGGGGGAGGGGGGGCAGGGTCAGAGGGAGATGGGAAAGGAGGGCAGTTGGGTAAGATCGAGAGCTGGGCTTGGGTGAGCACGTCCTTGGGAAGTCTGGGTGCCTGCTCCGCCCAGCTGCCTCAGCCCCCAGGCCCCCACTCCCCGGTCCTGCCTGACTCAAGCTAGGAACTGCCCGGTCATTCAGCTGCTGGCTCCAAAGCCGTCCTGGAGTCCACTCCCTGTTCTCTATGTCGGACAGCTCCCGCGTCTGCCCCCCTCCTCATTCTTCTTCAGCTTCACGCTGCCCTCCTGCCTCCAAGGGTCCCGGCCCCCAGTCAGCCGTCTCAGCAGCCCGTAAAAGTCAGCCTGGAATCCAGATGATGAGAAGTAGTAGACAAAGGGGTCGACACAGGAATTCAGGGTGCTAAGAAGCAGCACATAAGTTCTCCAGGCCGGGCTTTCACCCTGGACGTAGCCCACGACATGAGACATGTTGTAGGGCCCAAAGCAGACGAGGAAGTTGAGCAGCGTGGCTGCCACAAGCCCAACCACCCTCCTCCACCTCCGGTGGCTGGCTCCCCTGCTGAGCACCCATACCAGGTGGGCATAGCAGTAGCTGGTGATGAGCAGGGGCACCCCAAAAAGGACCACAGCCATCTCCAGCCTGATGGGCAGGAGAACAGTCAGCTGGTTGTCCTGGAATTCCAGGTAGCAGGTGCTATTGATAGTCTGGCTGTGGGAGGAGTTCCCTGAGAATTCCATGATGTAGACCACGCTGCAGTGAGCGCTGGCCAGGAGCCAGCAGGCCCCGCTGACCAGGCTGGCCTGTCCAGGCCTGGGCCGGGCCTTGTACCATAGCGGATAGGCCACACTCAGGAAGCGCTCGATGCTTACAGCTGCCAGGAGGAGGGAGGTCAGATAGATGGTGGTGAAGAAGAGGAATCTGGAGAAGGGGCAGAAGATGAAGGGCAGGGGCCAGCGCATGTCACTGGCAGCCTCCACCATGCGGAACGGCAGGAAGAGTAGCAGGAGCAGGTCTGAGAGGGTCAGGTTGAGCAAGAGCACGTCCATGGCCACGGGGCGCCGCCGCAGCTTGCCTACGAAGATCACCAAGGCCACCACGTTGAGGGGGAGCCCCACGAGGAAGGTGAAGAGGTACACAGAGAAGTAGAGCCAGTGATTGCCGGGGAAGAAGGATAAGTTCAGGCTTGTGCCCATGGTGATGGCCACTGGAGAAAGAGACAGCTAGATGGAGGGGGCAGTCTGGGGAGGGGGACCTTCATTCCCCATGCCAGCAGCATCTCAACCGTTGGCAGGGAACAGTCATCCCCCCCACCCCTGACCACCTCATGCCACCTGATGCTTTCTCCAGCAGGGTCAGCCTCACCCCCTTCCAAGCCCCTTATGGCCCCATGCTCACCTGCTTATTTGAGAACCCAACTGCTCTGCCCCCAGCACTTGGCCGACTCCTGCAGAACAGTGTAAGTTAGCTCTTTATCTGGCAGAACTAATAAAGACCCATGACATCATTCACCGTTGACCAATTGCACAAAAGACACCTTTAGTTCCTTTACCAGCACCGTGCCAGTATGCAAAATGAGGAGCAAATTCCACGACTATGTGCCTTGCTCTTGGGCTGTCTCGGAGGGGATGCTCGAGCCAGCCCTGAGCTGACTTCACCTTCCCCTCCCGGATCCTCCACTTGATTTTTATCTGCTTCTTTGGGATGGCAGTTATCCAATTTGCCTTGTAAGGGCAGGAAGCATGCGGCAGTGATGGAGAGCCTGGGACCTGGAGCCAGTGGTCTGGGTACACTGCCGGCTCTGTCACTGACTCTGTGATCTGGGGCAAGTGACCTAAACTCTCTATCTCCGCTTCCTCATCTGCAAAGCAGGGACCATCACAGTACTAATTTCATGGGGTTGTCATTAGATGAAAGCATTAATACCTGTCAAGGGCTGAGAAAGGAACCTGGCATGTTGTGGTGAGTACTTAACAGATGTTAGCTGCCATCATGCCAGTCACTGGTGTGGGCTTGTCTCTGGGGTGATGGTAATAATAAGACTAATGATGACAATGACGATTTAGGGGGCGCATAATCCGTAGCAGACATTCCGCCTCTGAGGGCATCGCCGTTCTGTCCTTGGGCCCCCCCGTGGGGAAGTGACTCACTCCAGGCAACACAGCTCATTAAGAATCACCACCAGGGTTCAAACCCCAGTTCTGTCCGACTTCAGAGATTATGGATTTATTCATTCAAATATTTATGGAGCACAGTGAGATAACCATTTTATACCTGCTGAGATGGCTATGGGCAAAAAATTGGACAATGCCAAATGGTGGGCGGGAGGTGAAGGAATGGGACTCCTCTCATATGTTGCTGGTAAGAATATAAAATGGTAGAGTGACTTTGGAAAGTAGTTTCTTAAAACAGTTAATATCAATTTACCATGTGATCCAGCTCCACCATAGGTATCTACTTCAGCAATGTTCATAATAGCATTATTCATAATAGCCAAAAAGTAGAAACCCACGCCCCCAGTGGTCCATCAGCTGGTGAATGGATGGATCGTGTGGCATGTCCATACAATGGATTACTATTCGCCAGTAAAATGGAATGAAATACCTATGACTGCTAGAACCTCAAAAACATGCCAAGTGAAACAGGCCAGACATAAAAGGCCATACACTGTATGTTTCCATTTATATGAAATATCCAAAACAGGCCAATTTGTATCTACAGAAAGTAAATTACTGGTTGCCCCAGGGACTTAGGGGGATTAACTGTAAATGAGCAGGAGGGGGTCTTACTGGGCCGATGAAAATGTTCTAAACTGGATGATAGTGAGAGTTGCACACCTTAGTAAATTTGCTAAAAAGCATTGACTTGAACACTTAAAATGGGTGAATTTTATGAGATATCTATTTTATCTCAAATAAGTTGTTAAAAACAGTTTTTGCCGTCATGGGTTTGGTGGAGTGAGGTCTCGGGGGATGGAGTGGTCGGAGGGTAATAAAGCCTCAGCACAGAGGCAGAGAACCACTGGGGAAGCACTTAAGGCAAAAGAATGGCAGGTGCACGGGCTGACCTGCTGGGGGGACCTTGTAGAAGGCTTTGGGCTTAAGGGGCAGGGGTCATGAGGGTGCTGGCGGCAGATCGTGTGGGGCTTCAGGGACCCTAAGGAGGAACTAAATTCCACCCCTAGGAGCAGGCACAATTCACCAGAAGAAGTGGTCCAGCAGCAGCAGGTGCTCCCGAGCAGTGGGAGAGAGAGCGGTCCCTGGCTTTCTGGGAGGGGGGCAGTGAGGCCACTTGGGCTGGAGGTCGGCTTACCCTGAAATTCTCTGGTCTCACCACTGTGCAGGGAATAAACTTGTTTCTCGCTTCTGTGGAGCCTCAGGCAAGTTACGTAACTTCTCTGGTCTGTTTTCATTTAATTATAAAACAGGAAATAACATTTTCCTTGGAGGGCTATTGTGAACATTCATTCCTGTAGCAAACATTTGTTGAGAGCCTACTATGTGCCAAGCTCCCCTCTAGGTGCTGGGAATATATCAGCAAATAAAATTCCTTGCCCTCGTAGACATTTATGCATAAAAAGAGATAGCTTGTATAAACCAGTTCGTGCACGCCAGGCATGTAGCCAGCCTTTCTGTGTCTTATGTGCTCGTGGCATTATCGTTTTTAGAGGAACAAGTCGGTTTCCTGCACCTCGCTTCATCAGAGCACGTGCCCAGATGTTTGTCTCCTCCATGGCCACTCTCCTCTACCCACTCTCTCGGGGTTCAGGGTGCCACCATTCACCTTTGCAAAGTGGACCACAAGGACAGGCGTTCACCCTGATACCCCAAGTATCAAATGCCCCTTAACCCTTGGGGGTCTTGCCTTGAAGGATCACATCCCACATCCCACCCCTTCCTTGCTGTAGAGCCTCGGAAAAATTTCTTAACCTGCAAAGATGGTGGTAATACTTGGTCAGGGACTGTAGCTAACTTATGCAGTGCCTCTGTACAAATTAGGAAAAGGCACCCCCCTCCAGGTGGCAGTACCCTCCACCAGGATGCACTGCTTGAGGAGTGAGTGGTATCTTTGTTCAAATTAGGATAACATGTTCCTTCTCTGGATGGAAGCAGCCCCATGCCAGGCACATGGCTTGGCGAGCAAAGCACAGGTTAGAATTTAGTCAACGTTTGCCCCTCTGCCTGGCACGCTTGTGCAGTGAACCACCTGCCCATCTGTACAGCAGCTACATGGCCAAATCAAAGGATTGTGTGAAATGGGACAACACTTTTAAAGCGCTTGATGTGTTGACTGTCACATCTTAGAGACTCTGTATTTGTTGGTGACTATTTCTGGTGTTGCTGGTGTTTTTTCTCCCTGCTGAAGCAGCTTTTCCTACCAACTTCCTGTTCACAGTTCCAATGCTGCCCTCTTGTGAGTTCCACCTGGTATAACAGCATCAATATCTTACCTCCTGTCTCTTTTACTCAGAAATTAAACTGTTCTTTCCTAGGAAACATTTTGGGAGTAGCATCCCCCAAAGTGTATCATCAGAGTGGCAGTTCCTCTAGATTGGAAGAAAACTTCCATAGCCCTGGCAGGTGGGGCAGGAGGAGAAGAGGGACAGGCAGAGGTGGGGAGTCGTGCTGATGCCTACAGAGGCAAGCTTACCTTCCTTCTGTGACCTAGCCCCTGGCTTCTGTTCTTCCCTCCAGCTGGGATGCAGTCTTCTGCCAGGCTCAGTTCTTTCCATAAGCAGGTCCAAGGATGCTCCCAGGCCAGGCTGCCCTGCAGGTCCTTTGGCTCCGGGCTCCAGGGGCCCGGACAAGCAGCCAGGCTCTCCTGCTCCATGCCCCTTCTTCCCAGCAGTGGCTACTACTTCTGGGATGTCCCTCCTTTTGTTCTTGCCACACTTGTTACCCGCCCAGCACCCCCTCCCAAGTAGCCAGTCACCAGCGGGTTGAGCACCACACTCCAAGCCCCTGTGATGAGCCCCAGTTTCCGCCAGTAGCCTCCCATGTTGGGGTGCAGGAAGCCAGCCACGTTGGAGGCGTTGTAAGGTCCTAAGCAGAGCAGCAGCGTGAGCAGAGCCCCGCCGGCCACCCAGGCTGCCCTTAGCTTCCGTCTGTGGCTCAGGCCTGAGCGGACCAGTGCCCGGAGGCAGCCCACGTAGCAGAAGGCTGTAATGCTCAGGGGCAGGAAGAAGAGCAGGAGAGAGAGGCTGAGGCGAGCAGGGCCCGCTGAGGCTGGGTCCCAGGCCTCCAGGCAGACTGGAGAGCCGTTGACTGGCGTGTTGATCCCCAGGGAGTTGGTGGTATTGTCCATCCAGCCTCCCGGAGCCTCCAACCCAAACACCAGCCCCAGGTGACAGAGGACAAGGGCCCATATGGCTGCACACACCCCCCAGGAATAGCGTGGCCTCCGGGCAGCTTGGTAGCCCAAGGGGAAGGCAGCCCCTAGGTAGCGGCCGACGCTCAGGGCAGCCAGGAAGCCCCCGCCAGCATAGAGCGGAGCGAAGTGGGCCAGGGCAAAGGCAGGACAGAGCGGGGCCGGCAGAGGCCAGGCGCCCAAGGCCAGGGCCTCCACCGCCTTCAGGGGCAGAGAGGCTGCCAGCAGGAGGTCAGAGCAGCCCAGGTGGAGGGCATAGACAAGGCTGGGGGTGAGGCGAAGCCGGGCGTGGGACACGGCGCCCCCAATGGCCAGGGCATTGAGCGGGAAGCCCAGCGTAAAGGCAGCTGCGTAGAGAGCGAAGGAGAGCTGCGGGGGCAGGTCCATGGGGCCGGGGCTGGCCTCCACGCTCCTGAGCTCCACTCGCTCCCCACCCTTCGGCCTGGGGCGGGGTTGGGGAGGGGTCAGGGGCTCCTGGGGTCACAGACTGCTCAGGGTATTAGAAGCCATCTAGTGAGATACCAACTATCTCAACCAGAGAGGCCCACTAGGGAGGTGGTGCCAGTGAGCAGGTGAGTCTGGGTTTGAAGTGAGGATGGCTAGCCCTCTGTCCTTTGCTTTCTTTCCACCATATCCTCTCTTAGAACACAACGGAAGCGGGCACGTCCCGTTAGAGGAAAGGCCTCCTGATTTCTGAGACTGGGGAGAGAAAGGGTAGAAAATTAGTGCAGAGTTGGGCCCCACGGTGTGTGTGTTTTTCCTAGGCCTGGAAGTTAGAGTACTGCGTCCACTCCCCTCCCCCAATTGCCTGGAAGGGAAACAGCTGCCCCCCTCCCCCCAACAGGGACAGCCAAAAGCCTGCAGAGCAGCTGGTGGAGGGTTAGTGGCAACTCCTAGCCGGGCGGGGGGAGAGGGATGTCAGAATTTGGGTAAGGTGGAGGCTGTGGCCAAGGGCAGGTGAAGGGGGGGGTGCCAGGGCAGAGCCCAAGGGTAAGCCAGGTCCCATCAGTGCCATAAGGAATGACCTTAACCAACTCCAGGGGGCACCCTAAGCGGGTAAGCGGAGGAGTTTGTGGGAATAATTGCCATGAAGAGAGGAGCCACAGAAAGAGGGACTCACCTCTTGGCGTTGCCTGCTGTCTCTGAGGCTCAGGAGTCCCCCTGGCTGGGCTGAGGGAGGGTGTCTGGGATGGGCAATGAGCTGGAAGAGAGAGGAGGGCGGGGTGGCAGGGCCATTAGCCTGAGCCATCAGTAGCCTGGGTGAGCAGCTAATGGGGCATCTCAAGCAGGAGCTGAGGCCAGGAGGTGAGGGTCCAAACAGATGATGCAAACACAGGAAGGGGACAGGGTAGCACTGAGGGTTTTTTCCTAGGCAGCGTGAGGAGTGTGTAGCTAGTTCCTTAAAGGAGCAGGGTTGTCAGGGGACGACCAGAACACAGCTCAATCCCACCCCACCCCAGCCTGTTCAGACCTGCTTCAGAGCCTGTGGGCAGGCCCTGGCCTTACGCGCTTGCTCATAGATAACACACTATGGTGGCCCACACCATGTCCATTTGGTGACTGATACATGTGGGATGATGAAGTCATCGTTTCAAGGTGTTGTCTCTGCGACAGGCTGTGGGCACGTTTTGGGAGGAGAAGGTTTTCCCTCTCCTTTCCCCTCTGGCTCAAAGACAATAATTTCTGACCCTACCTTCTGCTGCTGGCAGGAGTGGGGAGGAGGACAGACAAGGGACGGGTCTCCTTTGGTGGGGCTGAAGTGCTGGGCTTCTCTCTGGGGCACTTGGAGGGACACTGAGCGGCTCTTCCTAAAGCACAGATGGTGCAAGACTGCAGCTGGCTGCTTAGCTTTCTTCTCAGCCTCCGAGAAGTCAGCCGTTTACCTCCCTGCTGGGGTCACCCTGCCCCTCTAGGAAGACTTAAGTGAGATTTAAAATGGCCACAGGCTGTCTCTGTGATTCTGTCTCTCTCTCTCTGACTATGCCTGTGTCTGTCTGTCTGCCTGTCTGTCTCTGCCTCAAACAGACAACACAGCCTTTCTCTGGACTTCAGACTTCTCTGTTTTGGGGTGCATGTGTCGGTCATCAGGCCGCTATGTCCTTCCAAATTCCAAGTCATCCCGAACAAGCTTTGCTGGTGGTTTCCCGGAAGTGCTCCCCACCAGGCTTCCGGTGAGGGCAGCGTGGGATTCTCAGCATATCAACCATTGGTTCCAAAGAAATAATCAGATCCCCCTTTTCTACTTCAGTCGCTCAACTAATTCTTGGTTGCCTCCCTTCCCTGTCCTACCTATGTTGTCTAGCACCTCCCTTGGAGTGTAGAAGAACTTTCCATCTATTGTTTAGTATTTTATCTTTGAGAAACTGACAGAACCGAGGAAAAGTTAAAAGGAGGGCCATTTCACCTCCTGTAACCAGCATTTGGAAGAGGAGAAAAGCAGGGCGTGAAGGGAGACATTGGATCTTCAAGATCCCTGCTTTGGCCCATGCCTCTGGCGGTTCAGGTCTCTGCCCAGTGTCACCTCCGCCGAGGGCCTTCCTCGAACCCTCTCCAAATGGGCCCCTTCCCTGCTCCAGTCTGCCTTCATCTTGCATGGTGTTTATTCCTAAGCACTCACGAGCCTGTGACATCAGATTTGCTGGCCCCTCTGCTAAAATGTTGGTCAGTGAGGCCCAAGATTTCTGTCTGCTTTGTTCTCTGCTTGTTGCATCCATAGTAGGGGCTCAGTAATTGAATGAACCACCGGATGTCTGGGCCATGGGAGGACCGTGAGATCTGGGGCTGCATGGAGGGCTGCCTGGATTCTGGAGGCCCTGGCTTCAGAGTTGTTTGAACTCTGTTGGCCTGTTAACAGTCACATCTCTCGGTCAATTGGTCACGAAGTAGGTTTATGTTGGCAGCTGGGCTCGGACAGGATGGCAGGGCCCCTGCTGGTTGCCAGGGAGCCCGGGCCAGGCCTCACCAGGTTCAGGGCTGCCTTCAGGTCTTTAGAGGGGACTGTGCCCTAAAACCTTTTGGGCACCCTAGACTAGAGGTCACCAAGATGAGGATGATGTCATTCCTTTTTTGTACCCCAACAAATGTTCTATGCTGGATGCATTGACGTGTGCTTGGTAAGTGTTTGCTGAATAAACAGTTGAATGGGTGAATGATCCTGAACCTCATTCTTGAGATAGAAAGCCCAAACCCTTACCCTCTCCGTGAGACAGTTCTTGCTGTCCCCCCTTCCTCCAGAAATGCTAACTTCACACTGGGGACAAAGTGGATTGGTGGGGAAATAAGTGCCACGCTCTGGCATAGTTCCAAGGATGACCAGAACATCGTCTTCTCAGAAAGCAGATTCCGGTCTCGAGCAGATGGGAAGGGAGGGCAGGGAAGGAAGGTGGCACGTGTGGAGTGCCCACCACGGTCCAGGAACTTACATCCCCTTGCTGATGGACTAACCACGTGTTTCTGCTTCTAAGCATAGGTGGGGAAGGGTCAAACCTGAGATGTGGCGGGGAAGCTGGGAGGACCTAACTGGAAAGTCTGAGTTAGCGAACGTGACAGGGAACGGGTGATGTGACGGTAGGTGAGAGGAAAGTGGTGAGGTTTCTCAAGGCAGTTGGCTTTTGAGAAGTTCTTGGGCAACTGTGGGTTGTGACCGAACTTGGCAGCGGGACTTTTGAGAACGAATCAGCTTCCCCTTCTTATATTGTTCAAGAGCGGCAGACAAGATGGCAGTCTGGTTTTTAGGGACTTTTGGCTGTTTGTGTCAGGTTTCTGATAATGTGACCCCAGCATATGTACTACTGTCCCTCACTTCTCCTTTTTTTTAATATATATATTTTATTTATTTATTTGACAGAGAGAGACACAGCGAGGGAGGGAACACAAGCAGGGGGAGTGGGGGAGGGAGAAGCAGGCTTCCCGCGGAGCAGGGAGCCTGATGCGGGGCTCGATCCCAGGACCCTGGGATCACGACCTGAGCCGAAGGCAGACGCTTAACCGACTGAGCCACCCAGGCGCCCCTGTCCCTCACTTCTTATCTTGAGCCCCCTGCACCAGAGGCGGTGGCACCTCCATTTTGCAGATGAAGAAACTGAGGCTCAGATGAGCTGGTCACTGAGCTCGTTAGCAGAAGGGTCAGGACTCAGACTTGTGCTGGTCCAGCTGCAGGGCCATGCACCCTTTGCAACAAGACACTGGACTCCCCAGTCTGCTGATTTGACCCTGAGGTTGCCCCAACCCCTTTCCCTTCTCCCCAAGCCCCATGAGGCCCTCCTAAATCTCCCCGTTGTCACTCTGACCCCACAAACTGGAAATCATTCACGGGTTCTTTGAAGTGGTATCTGAGCCATTTTTATTATGCAGTTCTGTGTGTGTTACACATCTGTCCACACCAGTGTGTGTCTCAGCCCACAAGACCCCCAAGGGCAGGGGCTGCAGCAGCATAATGGAATGCCTCACTGATGCGTGGAGGAGAACCCAGCGCAGGACAGCCCCTCTTCTCCCTGAGCTTTGCCCCAGAGGCAGAAATTAGGCACAGGACGAGTGAGTGGGGCTTTCAGAGCAGGGGTGAGGGGGCCATAGGAATGGAGAGGGAAAGAAAAAAATACAGTAACAAGCTGATCCCAGCAGGGACACTGGCCCACTGGGGACGGGTTTTGAGGGGGTGGGCGGTGGCAGGTGGCCGGGGAGGGGCAGGGGGATGTGTGCAGTGCAGGGTCAGTATTTAGACAACCTTCCCCATGGGAAAGAGAGCGGACGGGGAGCAGGCCTTTGGGAGGGTCAGGGTTACCATCGTTGAGAAGGAAGCCTGCCTCTGGGCCACATACGAAGTTCTGGGCGCTGACTGAGGCATCACTGGTGATGTGCATGCATGCGTGCGTGTGCCTGCATGTGGAGGGGAGGCCGAGTGGCTTTGCGACTGAGCAGGGGGGGTGGGGCAATCTCCACGACCACCCGGCCCCTGCAGTCCCTCCCTCGGCGCCTCTGCTCCAGCGGGTTTGGCCTGTCAGTGCTTGAGGGTCACGTATTCCACGGCTTCCTGGGCCAGAGGCCGCTTCCCCAACCCAAGATGAACCAGCTCTGAGTAATGTATCCCCTCGTCTTCCGGACTGTCTGGAAGCACGTTCTCATAGTCGCCCTGAGAAAGCCACGTGTGTGAGGCCACAGGCCTCCCGGTCTGCGTTCCCTGCCTGTTCCCTCCCTGGCTCCTCCTGGGGGGCCAAGAGCCCGAGCAGGAGTCCTCTTGTCCCCACGCTGTCTGCAGTCAGCGTCTCGGACTGGGCCGTGCTGCCCTGGCTCCGACCACACCCGTGTCTGAGCAAAACCCCCCCACCAGGCCTTGCCACCATGGAGGCCACCAAGTCCTTCCCATCTGGGACTCACAGCTGAGGCCAGGTCCCCCGCACCCCCTCCTTCCACAGCCCTGCCCCCTTACCGCTCGACACGTCTGCAAGACAGAGTAAGTGATGGTGTCATCCCTGTTTGGAGAAGGTCCCTCTGTCTCCAGGGTCCCTGCATCTCTGAGGGAGGGTAGATGGATGACCGCAGATAAAGCCTTTCACGTGAACTCTCTTCCTATTTCCAACTCCCCTAGCCCCCAAGAGCACCCCAGAGCGGAGCCTGGCTCACAGGCCTGCCACAAAGAGGGCAGGCAGGACAGGAGCTGAGCCCTTCCTCCTGCAGCTCTCCCCGGGTGCACGTGTCACCCTCCCAAGACCCTCACTAGGTACCCAGTTCTTGGTGTGTCAGTCTCGCCGAAAGGAAAGCGCAAGGTGGCGTAACTGATGGCCTCTTCCATCACCGGATTGTAGCACCCCAGGGAGTGGGGGTATTCGGAGAGCGGGGCCCTTCTAACCTGGGACAGAGACAAGGCCTCAGTTCTCGCCACTCCTTTCTCCACCTGAGTCCCCTTCCCCTGGCCTCTGACCTCCGACCTCCCGCACAGTGCTCTGCACCCCCCTTTGTCTCCCCTTGACCTCCAGGTCTGCCTCCAGGTCTTTTTCCATCTTACCTTCTGCTTCCTCACAAAGAAGCTCTGCCCACTGGAACTTTCCTGGAGCCCCTGCTGGCTCCGTATCCTCTTCCAGCTAAGAAATAAAGCCCCACTCGTGAGGATCAGGGGAGTGGGGACAGGACCCTGTGCAGTGGGCATGCTGGGGGCTCCAGGATGGTCAACTGGAGTCACTCCGGGGAAGGAATCAGGGAGAGCCAAGGGACATGAGCCTTGGGAGGAGCTCACCTTCGCTGAAGTTTGACTCCCCAGAACGCCAGGAGTAGGGTGGCCAGGCAGAACCCCACTCCCACAGCCACTCGCCTGCCGATGGTCTCCGGGCTGTCTGGTGGGGGAAGGAGCGACCGTGAGTTGGGGATACTGCCTCTCTCAGATCAGCATTGCCTTGTAGCATTTTCCCGGGAGGCATCCTCAACTTCTCTGCATGGCCGCTCTCCTTGCCTGGGCTACTTCTCCACACGTAGGGGCTGTGATGCACAGAAAGGGAGAAGCCGGCCCCTGCCCACTGGGACCCCGTTGGGAGGAAAGGGCTAACTCTCAGGAAAGCACCTGTTTTGTGACAGACACAGGCACACACAGGACGTGCAGTAAAAGCTACAACTTCCTTAGAGGCCGCTTGGCCATACTTATCAGAACTTAAAATCACTTGTCCTCTGATGCAGCAATTCCATGTAGGAATTTATCCTGCAGCTGTCCTTCAGGGGTACCAGAGCCAGAGACAGCGCAGGGCTGTGGGGAAAGCACTGGGTAGATAGGGTTTGCTGCTTCCATGCACAGGAAGACAACAACAATGCAGCCCTGAGGGAAAGGGGCAGGTTGCCAGGGTGTCTGCAAAAGTGGAGACCCCTGACACAGGTTTTTATACAATATGTTGCATTTCCAAATAACGCGTTCAGGCATCCAGCTTTGCAGGCCATGATCCTCTAAATCTAAAGCCATGGCTCCAAGTTTAATCTGAAAAAGTACAATAAATCAATTAAATAACTTCCCCATTGTTTCCAGACCCTTCAGACACCCTGTGCATGCACGGATATAGAACAGTCTCTGAGTGGTATTGTTAACGTGGCAAAAAAGAACGTCCAGGACAACGTGTAAGCTCTCCTGCGATTTGCGTGATGAAGGGAGTACAAACATAGACCTACTTATTGTATTGTGTGTGTGCAGAATAGCTCTGTAAAGAGATGCAGACAGCTGCTGGCAGTGAAGGCCTTCAGGGAGGGGTAGAGTCCTCAGGGAGAAAGAAAGGAGAAGTGTCTTTCTACTATTTACCTTTTGTGCTATTTTATTTTGCCTTGTCCTAAAAATATATATATAGAAATCTCAAAAGATAAACAGGCTACCAAGGGTGAGACAGAGAGACACAGAGAGGGGCCCAGCAGGATCTCAGGATGTCTGGCAGGCAGGGAGTCCTGAGAGGGAACTGCCCTAGAGAGAGTCCGGAGAGACTTCGAGAAGGAGGAAGACAGGTGAGCTTGTGTGGAGCAGGCGCTGTGCCTGGGAGTGACCGGCTGGGCTGCCCGACAGGACAGGGGAGGGAGAGAAGGAGAAGGGAAGGGGCCTTACAGTAGACAGTGAGGGTGCTGGGGGGTGACTGGACCCTGCCGAGCTGGTTGGTCGCCTCGCACCAATAGGCGCCTGAGTGCTGGATCTTCACGGGATCCAATCTCAGCATCTGATCATAATGGTGGAGGTTTTGGTTATTCCAGTCAAACCAGGTGTACTGGAAGATGGGAGGGTTGGCATCGCTCTCACATGTCAGGACTGCCTTCTTCCCCTCCACCACTTGGTCCTTTGGGCTGATGGCCACACGCAGCATCCTTGGTGCATCTACAAGGAGAAGAAAAATCAGGATCCAGGTAGCTGGTCACGGGCTTTTCTGTCTGTCTCCAGCCCCAGCCACTCGCTCACACAGCACTTGGAGCCTCCTGGCCTCAGACATGGTCTGTCCTACGGAGTTGTTGATGAGGCAGTTGTAATCGCCGGCATCTTCTGGAGAGATGGAGTCAAAGCTCAGTTCTTTTCCTTCCTTCAGAAAGATTCCATTTTTCTTCCAGAAGAAGTGGACATCTCTGGGGCGGCTACTTGAGAAGTTACATCCAAGGAGGACTCGGTGCCCGGAGTGAATCTCAGAAGGGGGGCTGATCTGCTGGACCCTGACATCCTTGGGGGCATCTGGAGAGCAAGGGCCTCAGGCTGACCTCTTGGGTCCCTTTCCCTCTTCCTGGCCCTAAGGCCAGACTCTCAGCCCTCAATTCTCTGTGAAGGTTCCAGCCCAGGCCCCAGTCCCCTCACCCTGAGAGCCCATATCCCAGCTGGGCTACCTCTTGGGTCCCCTTGCCCAGTCACTCACGCTGAACATCCAGGTTGACAGAGGGGGCCCATGAACACCACTGGTTACAGGCTGCACAGGCGATTGGCTTGGCGTCCCAGGCAACTTTTTGAATTATCAGCACCCCGGGTGATTGTTCCTTCCAGGAGCCTTGGAGGTTCCATTCATATCGGGTAACTCTGGGATTACTGGAACTGTAGTTACAGGACAGGGTCACAGTGTCTCCTTCTTGAATCCGCGTGGGGTTTTGAATCACCGTGGTTACCTCCTTGGGGGCATCTGGGAGGAAACCAGACAGATGGGCAAGGGAAAGTCAGCTGTCCAGACTACCTTTCCCAGTGCTTACTGCTCCACCCACACCCCCGCCCCCCGCCCCAACCTATCTCCTGGGTTCACACAATTCCTAAATTAACCAAAGGAAGGCTCGGACTTCCCTCTCGCAAGTGTGCGAGGACAGGAGCCATAGCTGTGGTTTGAGGCGGGAGGAGGCAAAAGGTCAGAGCAGAGCTCAAGCAGAGAATGCGTGGTGTATGCAAGGTAGAGGCACCCTGTCTGTGGGTCTCCGCAGGGGCCTGGGGCGCAGAGCTAGTTTGCTGTAGTGCAGGCATTCATTGGGGGGTGGGGGAAGCACAGCTCTGGAGCCAGATGGGCTGAGAGCTGAGTGACCGTGGGCCGTGGGACTCAGTTTGCTTCACCATCAGATGGGGTCCTAAGAGCACCTAACCTGATAGATTCAAAGCCAGGAGGAAATGAGATGAAGCACTCAGAGTGGAGTAAACGCTCCAGAAATATTCCTGCTGCGGCGGCTGCATCACACACCCACTGTCTAGATGTTCGGGATTCGAGCATCCCCGTCAGATTATCTGGCTCAGACTCTGACATCCCAGGGTCCAAGGCTCAAACTTAGGGACTCTCTTGGTCCTGGGCTCGACTGACAGACAAGACTCACTGTGTTAGACAGGGTCCGACCTCTGAGGGAGAGGCAGTGAGACATTTTGCTCCAGTTCTCGAAAACTTCAGGCCCCCTTCTGAGACTCAGCCACTGCCTAGTGACACCATGTTCTCTGGGTCCCTCATGGGGCCCTGGCGGCTTGCAGTTCATTCATTCAACAGACATCTACTGAGCACCTGCCATGAGCCAGACCCTGTTCTGGTGCTGGGTATACAACCGGAAACAGCAGCAAAGCACCCGCCCAGGGAGCATACATGTTGGGAGACACCCCTGCTTGCCGCCCATGCTAGGACCCAGGAATCTCCTGCGCCCCATCTGCCTGCCTCCTTCTCCCGCTAGAACCCAGAGGCCCTGTGACTACTCACATTGGACATCTAACTCAGTCTCCTGGCCAATTTGTCCAGGACCAAGTCTGTTTTCTGCCAAGCAGGAATACTGCCCAGCATGGCTGAGGAGGACCATTGGGATCTGGAAGGTCTTGCTTGTCCTTCCTGGCACTTCTATCTCATTGTGATACCAGGTGTAATTGGTTGGAGGAGGATTGGCCAGTGACATACAAGTCATCTCTACTTTATTTCCCTCCTTCACTGGCGAGGAGAGGATCTCAACCCTGGAAGGTTCCGGAGCATCTGGAAAAAGGTGCAGAGGCAGAGGAGGAAGGTGAGCAGAGGCCTCTGTTGTTTACCTCTCAAGGGCCTTGGTTCCACCCCCTGCTAACTCCCTGCCTGCCCCCCTCCCAGCTCCCAGGAGGCTCACAGTACACTTGGAGGAACACTTCATCCGACTGTCCTGAGCCTAGATCATTGAAGGCCTCACACTGGTACTCTCCACTCATCTTCTTGGTCACAGAGGACAGAGTTAACGTGGGTGTCTCCTGCTCCCTCAGCCGGGTCCCATCCTTGAGCCAGGCTATATTCTGGAACTCTGGGTTGCTGCTGATGACCTGGCAGGTCATGGTCACAGACTCTCCCTCTGTTACATTGGCTCCTTCGGGATTGACCTCAATCTTCAACTTTGGGACATCTAGAGGAGCAGAGGGGCAGCAGGAGAGGGGGTAGGGACTTCTCAGGGGGTGTCACCTGGGGGGAAGTTGCTGGGCTTTGATTCAGATAAAGCAGCAGCCTACACATAGCATGGGAGTGTGGGCAGCCACTTGCTGTCCCCCTTATCAACAAGGGTGGGCTGGTCCAAGCACCTGGGTGATGGTCACGGACTCCTAACTTGTCTCTCTGCTCTACGCACCACCCCGCACCTGTTCTCAGAGTTCTGGTCTCCACCAGCAGTCAGCTGTCTTCCTGATACCGTCAATCAGCCTTTGCCACTCCCCTGCTTGAAACTGTTTAGTGGATTCCACACCCAGAATAAAATCCAAAACCCTGCTGCCACCCATGAGGTCTGGCCTTGGCCCTCCTTTCCTATCATTGGGCCCCTCAGACGCAGGGCTGAGGCTCTCCGGCCCCTTGCTCTGGTGCAGGCACACAAAGTTCCTACCCCCAGGCCTTTGTCCTTACTCTTTTCTCTTCCTGGGATCTTCTGGCAAATAGCTGCCTGCCTCAATCTTTCCCTTCACCCAAGTTCACTGTCCTCAGAGAAGCCTCCATCCTTCCCTCCCTCCCTCTTTCTGAGCCCGGCTTTACGTCCTCCTAATACGCTTATCACTGCCTACCCTTAAGTTCGGTATTTCTTTGTTAATCTAGTAATTGTTTGTCTTCCCCAGCGGCAGTGCCAGCTCCTCAGTGGGCAAGAACAGGCCTGGCACCCAGGAGGCTCATAGTAAATATTTACTGAATGAATGAATGGGGCACAAACAATGATGTGAAAACATTTCTTACCCTGAGCCCTCTACCCAGGGGGAAAAATAAACCTAACCACATGATCTCAAATTCACATCGTGGCTCGAGGATATTAAATTATGTTATTCTTCTAGACCAAAGCAGATGCTAAGATGAATCTGTTCCCTGAAACACTGGGGCTGACAACAGGGGTGGTGGAGGGACGCAGCCCCAGCTGGACCTTTTCCAGCTGTGGGTGTTCATGGACCGATTATGTGTCCTTCCGTGGAGGTGCCCGCTACCCTTGGTGCGCTCTGAGGGGTTGGGGAGAAGAGATAAGACCCTCGTCCCTCCCTGGGGGCACTGGGAGACACTCACGCTTTACATCCAGCAGCACCGTTTCCTCAGAGAGGATCTGCCCTGCTTTGGGGCCCCAGAGTTGGCAGGTCAGATTCTTGCCGTGGTGTGTCCACTGTGGCTGGAAGGTGAGCTTGCTCTGGGTGAAGACAGTCTTGGTGGTCAGGGAGGTCGAGGTGACGGCAGGCTCCTTCAGGGACCACTGCAGCCGTATCTGGTACCCAGGGCAGGAGAAATTCAGCAAGCAAGTCAGAGTGACTTCCTGGGACTCCTGGATTTCTGGAGGGAGCTGAATGTGAGGTGACAGGGGCGTCTCTGCAAAAGAGTATGGGCCAAGCTGGAGGCCTGGGAGACCAGGGGCCTGTGCCAGCCTCTCACACCTGGCTGTAGATGCTCTGCCCCCAAAGAAGCCCTCAGGAGCCCCTCGCCAGTCCCTTCCACCTCTCTCTGGGCCTGCCTTTCTCTGCTTTGAATCACTTTTGCTCTGCCGAAACACTCTCTGAAAGGTCTAGTGAATGCTGATGCTCCTTAGGAATTGGATTTTATATTTTATACTTACCTCGTTCTCCTTCCCTGATGTTTGCTCTCTAAACATTTTCAAGATCGCTGCCCCACCCCGAGGGAATTTTACCAGGTTAGGTCCCCGTGCCTTTCTTGGCTTTGATGACAAACCTGCATTTGTAATGGCCTCAGTGCTGGGAGCCATCCAGCATGGCATTCCTTTAGGGATCCCCGGGGCTGGGCAGCCCTAGGACTGCAGGTCTGAAGCTACATCTCTCATTGCAGTGTAGGGCTGCTTAGCTTAGACCCCTCCAACCCCCGCACTGAAGAAACAGGCTGTGGGGTGGAGGTTCCAGGCCTAGGTTTCATTCACCCCCTACCCCGTCCCCTACCTGTGTCTTTAAGACATGAAGGCCTAATTAGAATCAATCGCCAACATTAAGGCATTGGGAGATTTCACTCAAATCAAAGATTTCCATCTTCTTTTGAAAAATCAGGCAACCGGGGGCACCTGGGTGGCTCAGTCGGCTCAGGTCATGATCCCAGGATCCTGGGATCAGCCCCTCATCAGGCTCCCTGCTCAGTGGGAAACCTGCTTCTCCTTCTCCCACTGCCTGCCACTCCCTGTGCTTGTGCTCTCTCTCTCCCTCTAATAAATAAATAAAATCTTTAAAAAAAAAAAAAAAGAAAGGAAAAGAAAAGAAAAATCAGGCAACCTGGAACCCAGATTCCAGCATGGGTGGAAGCTGAGGGGCAGGTGCAATGCTTGAGGAGAAACAAGTACTCGGGCTGCAGGTCCCATTGTCTCGTTATGCCCCAGTCACTTACTGGCACCTCCTGCCTGGCCTCTACAAGCAGTCTGGTTTGCGACCCCTGTCCCAGGAGTTGGGTGTTTCCCACCTTCCTCCTTGCCTGAAGCCAAGGCAGAGGACCCCATCCCCCACGGCCTTACTAGAGACGTTGAGGTCTATTTTCTCCATCCATTTGTCAGTCTTCGTTATCAACCTCAGCCCCAGCCAGCCATTGTCTTGTTCAAGCACAGGGTTGATGCGTATGGTGCAGTTGGATCTTTGGTCTCCCAGGAACTGAACCCTCTCCGGGGTATGAGGATCCCCCCAAGGCTTTGTTTTCTTATAGAGAATGTGCCCGTTGAAGTTCTTGGTGGTGTTGTCATATTCATAGTTGCTGTACAAGGTCAGGTTTTCCAGATCATCCTTACGCCCTGGAATTGCGTACTGACAGGGAATCCAGACGCAGGCCCCATCCCAGCTGTAGAGAGTGTGGGGGTGCTCAAACTTCCATTTAGATGAGTCAGAGAAGGCCAAGTATTCTGGAACCCACCACAGTGATCAAAAAACATTATTGAAGGACATAAAGAGCTTTCAAATGAATAAAGAATCCCCTCTGAAGATAGAGGGAGAGAGGAAGGTACACAAAGAGAGGTGTATACGCACACACATACCTTGCTTGTCCCCACCCTCCCCAACACTTAAACTCTTTGCTCCAGAGCTCTCCTCCTCCTCCAGCTCCCACAGACATCCCAGAACCCAAACCTAAACCACAGTCCTTACCAAGGAGCAGGAGCGAGGGGCCGAGGAGATGCATGGTGCTGTGTCTAGGCAGGAGCCTGGGCCGGGAAGAATTTGTCTTTGAGCCATCTGGTCGCTTAGTTCTTTCAGATGGCTTTTCTTGCTCACCCACCAAGCTCCAACCCCTCTTCCCTGATCCCAGGAGGACCACATCTGATTGCATTGCAAGATGTGAATTCTGGTTGTTCATGGGGCCTTTTATGGGAATGCCATGTCTATTCTGTCAGCCTAAGAACTCTGTACAGCAAACCTGCCTCTCTTCCTAGCCCTTCTTCCTTTCTTCCATCCATCCTTCCATCCATCCATCCATCCATTCTTCCTTCCATCCATCCATCCATCCATCCACCCATCCACCCATCCATCCACCCATCCACCCTTCATTCCATCCATCCATCCATCCATCCATCCATCCATCCATCCATCCATCCATCCATCCCTCCCTCCATCCTTCCATCCATCCCATCCTTCCATCCATCCATCCATCCATCCATCCATCCATCCATAATTTTACAAACTTCCTGGCCAGCTCTCAGGCTTTGAGTGGCACCAGACCACTGAGTGCCATGAATCCCAGGCCCAGGGTAACTTGAAGCTCACCTTGAGGCAACTAGTGAAGGGTTTTATGTAGGGCGGAGCCATGATCAAAACTTGATTTTAAAGACCAGGAACAAAATTAGTCTAAAACTAATAATTAAGTGTGAATCTAGGAGAGCATTTAGAGGGGTCTGGAAGAACTTAGGAGAATGTGTCCAAGGGTCCCACTCAGAGAAGCCCGGGGGTTGGGAAGAAAACATAAATTGGCCAGGTGGGGACAGAGGTCATGTCTTAGGTAAAGGCAATGATGCTCTCAGTCCCAGCCAATTGTTGCCAATTGGGAACATGAGCTCGGCACTGCCTGACCTTCCACTGTTTTTGGAGAAGTAAGAAGCCAGATTTTCATGTGAAATGCCCTGCTTTCAGAAACAAACAAACCAATAAACATGGTGCTGGCCAAACCAAACCTGTCTACAGGCTGGAGGCAGTCCAAGGGCCCCCAATGTGCAGCCACAGCCTGTCTGTCTCTCTTGGAGACATCAGTGAGCTTATCTGCCACCTTACTAGACTTTTACATAGAGTTACATTTACAGAGAGTTAAATTTAAGTCCCAATTTGCATGGCTGGGCCTCTCTGTGCTGGTCCCTCTAGAGTTAGCAGGATGTGTGACAGAGTGTGTCTCCGGTCTCAGCACAGACCTGCACCCCTCCCTGCCCAGCCAACATTTCCCACCAGCAAGGGCCCCTCACCCCCTTGGGCTATTTCTCTCCTCAGGCTGCGTGGCTTATGCCAAATGCTGTTGGGTGTCTAGTACCCGGCATGGGGAAAGCTAGACTGCTTGCTGAGCAGGAAGGGGGTCTGTCCCCAGGAGTAGTGCCTGTGCTGGCCTGGGCCGGGCCTGGGTTAGGGATGAGGGCCCTGAATGGGGACAGACTTTCCAGGCAGAACTGACACCAGCTCTGCAGGTGCTAATAGTGCTACACACAAAAACGTCTTCAAGGCCACATCCACTTGAAAAAAGCTGGGTTAAAAAAGGTAAATAGAGGGGCGCCTGGGTGGCTCCGTCATTAAGCGTCTGCCTTCGGCTCAGGTCATGATCCCAGGGTCCTGGGATCGAGCCCCACATTGGGCTCCCTGCTCGGCGGGAAGCCTGCTTCTCCCTCTCCCACTCCCCCTGCTTGTGTTCCCTCTCTCGCTGTGTCTCTCTCTGTCAAATAAATAAAATATTAAAAAAAAAAAAGTAAATAGATTCCCAACTGTGAGTCCTTTTGATCCCTTTAATCAGCTGGGTGCGCATCAAACATCTCCTAACATGGGGGCTAAAGTACAGTCCATTGCTCACACTTCTTTAGCCACAGAACTGATTTTACATTTCTCGTGAAAAACTTGGCAGGGTTGCAGGGTCAATGTTTTGAGGGATGTGCTGTGGGTCCCCTTTGAGTTTCTATAAGAGCTGTGGCAAGGGCTAGATTCCATTCTTTGTGGTAAAGACTAGCCTCCAGTAGCTGGACCTTGTGCCCCCTCTGCCACCAGCCGCCCTCATGGGGGAATGGCTTGAGGACACCAGGACGAGTGGGAAAGGGCACTTCTGAGAGCAGGGCTGTGTACTCACTCCCAGCAGCTCAGGCAGTCTCCAGGACATAAGAAGTGGAACCACGGGCCTGGAATTGGAAGGCTGCTGAGACAGGGTAGGGCATGGAGGTGGGGAACAATAGGCATTGGGCACAAAGGCTCAGGACAAGGCCATGCTATCCAGACCTGTGGCCTGCTCAACACAGGCCTGTTTAGGACCTTACAAGACCTCAGAGCCAGCCTCCCTGAGTCCATTCTTCCCTCCTGGGCATCTGGTGACCCATCTTACTCTCAGAAGACTCATCAAGCCCATCAAGGGGCATGCTCAAAGACAGGGGTCTGTATCCTGTTATAACACAAGCAAGAGAGGTGGGGGGCTTCCCACTGTGCTCCCAGGCCCAAGAATTGTGCCTGGCACACAGCAGTTGCTCCACGCTAGCTTGCCAAATGCAAAAGAGAGCAAAATAGTTTTTACCTGTTTCCTCGTGTCTTCCTTCTTCGGGGACCTGGCAGCGTCTGAGAGTGAAAGGGGAAACACAGCGAAGGATTTTCACCCTCCTCGGCCACACCCCCTGCCCCTTGGTGACTCACAGGGCAACCAAGAGGCATGGCAAAGTGGGAGAGTTGGGAAAAGAGGGAACAAGGACAATGTGGGCTCAGAGGCAGATTGGAGGGAACACTCGAGTACCCACGGTCAGTTTTTAGTTTTGGTATATGGACTTATACATCAGATAGTTACTTCCTCCAGAACTTCCCCTCTATCCAGCTCTCAGGAAATGCTGATAATTAAAGCCAAGCAGTTTAGAACTGCCAGCCTGCTGAAAAAGGCACAAGGCAATCTGAAAGTACTTGTAGTTTAGTGTTACCATCCAGTTATTCTCATTCCCATACTTTTCCTCCAAAGGCAAGACTGGTGGGGAGTCTGGTCACTTACACTGATGCTTCAGCAGCTCACAAGGGTCAAGGAAAGAGCACACAGATATCAGGAAGAAAAACGATAACTTACGTGAAGTGTTATTGAATGGGCAAGTCATGAGACTGGAACCTTACCACTTGGTCAGGCTTCTAGTCAGTGAGTGTCTTGAGACCAGAACCAGACATCAGCTAAAGCCATTCAAATCCTACAGGGATTTGAACAGGGAAGTCTGAGAAATTTGTACCCTGGCATCACCAAACTCTACTGACTGCCAGCCATTGAGAAGGAAACAGAAAAGGGAAAGAACAGCTTGTTCAAAAAATAGTGATGTTCTGGGAAGGGTATTCTTCCCTATTTCTTTTGCTAAGAACAACTAAAAACCCTGGATCCCTGGATGTTATAAAACAAGCATAAGAAGACACTGAAAGGTTGAGAGAAGACACACTGTTGGGACCTTGGGACCTGAGGAATGATATGATGGTGAATTCCCTGGGTTTCACTGGATACTGAAGAAACAAGCAACTGGAAATGCCAATGGGCTCAGAAAAAAAGTTCAGCAAAACTCTGCTCTTCTAGCCAAAGAACCAAGAAAGGGGTAACCCAGAAAGACAAATCTTTCAGTCAATAACTGCTCTGCTCCAGCTAAATATCACAGAAAAACCTGCTGCTTCACTCCCACCCCTGACAGCAAAGGCTGAGTGGGGCCCTAGACTTCCACCCTTGCTAGGCCGTAATGAAGAGTCCAGGTCACTCCCCGCTACCCCATCTAAGTGGTGCCAGAGGAGGCTGAGTGTGGAGCTGGGCCCTCCATCCCCACTGGACTATTCCTCCCCACAGTGTTAGTGGAGACCACTTGGGGAGCCCGAACATCCACCCCCACCCAGTGGTGATGAGGCGTCATTCTCCTCACTAGAGTGGTGTAAGAGGAGGTCTAGGGGAGGGTCAGGACTTTCACCGTCACTCAGTGGTCATAAGCCCACCTCCTACTGTGGAATCTACACGGAAGTGATGTGGAGAACAGTAATGAAGTACCCCTCCCTCTCCCGGCCAGGGTGGTATTAGTGGATGCATAATGGGGAACCTGATCTTCTATCCCTGCCTAGCAATAATAAGAAAACTTCACACACACACACACACACACACACACACACACACACATCAGGTGTCAGGAAAGGCTGAGTGGAGAATCTGAACTTCTACCCCACTTGGCAATAATGAGGCAGTGCCCCCATTCATTTCACTGGAGCATTGTCAGGGGAGGCTTGCTAAAGGACAGATTTAAATAAGATCCAGTCCCATAAATAATACCCCAAATGCCTAGGTTTCAATTGTAAATCACTTGGCATACTAAGAACCAGGAAGTTCTCAAACTGAATGTGAGAAGATAATCAACAGACACAAACACAAAGATGACACAGATGTTGGAATTATCTGACAAAGATTTTAAAGCTTCGGGCACAAAGGCTCAGGACAAGGCCATGCTATCCAGACCTGTGGCCTGCTCATAAAATGCTTCAGTGAGCAATTACAAACATGCTTGAAACAAATGAAAAAAATAGAGCATGTCAGTAAAGAAAGAAGCTATAAAGAAGAATCAAAAGGAAATTCTAGAACTAAAAAAAATACAGTAACAAAAACCTTAATGAATGGGCTCAACAGTAGAATGGGGATTATAGAAATAACGATCAGTGAAATGAAACATAGAACAATAGAATTTAACCAATTTGAACAGCAGAGAGAAAATAAACTGAAAAAATAAATGAACAGAGCCTCAGGGGCATGTGTGGCTAGTATGACAAAAGATCTAACATTAAAGTCATTGGCGTCTCAGAAGGAGAGGAGAAAGATGGTGAGGCAGGGGCTTAGAAAACATTTGAAGAAATAATGTCCCTAATTTGACAAAACAAACAAACAAAACCCATACATCAGATTCAAGAAGCTAAGTGAATCCCAAACAAGATAAACCCAAAGAAATCCATGGCAAGACACATAATAGTCAAACTTCTAAAAACTAAAGACAAAGAAAAAATCTTGAAAGCAAACACAGAGAAATGACTCATTACCTATAGGGAGAAAACCCATTCAAATGACAGTAGATTTCATATCAAAAACCATGGAGGACTAAGGAACTGAAACAACATTTCTCAGATACTGAAAGAAAAGAACTATCAACCTGGAAACTTATATCTAGTGAAAATATCCTTCAGGAATGAAGAGGAAATCAAGACATCCTCAGATGAAGGAAAGCTAAAGGAATTTTTAACCAACAGAGACCCAAAAAGGATGGCTA